ATATATATATATATATATATATATATATATATATATATATATATATATATGAGAACAAGCTTATTGGGTCCCAAGCCAATATGCAACTGAAAATGCCACACCCCAGAAGGATTGGAACTCAGACAGCCAGGAGCACTATGCACCTTGGCATACCTGGTACCTTAACCACTTGACTACACTGACTGTACAAAAATCTTGGTAGTCGTGAGACTATTCTATCCAAGATCCAAAAGCGCTAGGAGGTGAACTTGGCCTACCTTTCCAGCAGTGCAATAGAATCAATTGAAAAAGGTGTTTTGCTTTGGCGGGAGGTGTGTGAGGGAGGGGGAAAAACAGGTCAGGGTGAGGATTATCCCAGTGCCACCATAAACAACGGCCTCCAGGCGGGGAGGAGGTCTCAAGTGGATGGGGGGTGAGGGAGTGAAAGAGAGGCTCACAAATCTGCTTGTATTACAGCACGCTTGGAGGTGAATGTGTGTGTGTTTTAAGATGTACGGTGAGTTTGTAGTGCTAAACATAATGCACCAGAGAAACTTTGTGTTAATTGTGTCTTTCCACTGCCTGTGGCGTGCAGCAGTAAGATGTGGGAAAAACACTTAAGATTAAAACTTAAAAATAGTTGAGATCAAATCATAAATTTAATTGAAAAAGGGAAAAAATAAAAAGAGAATGATAATAATTACATGATGGATGAAACATCAGAAATTGAAACAGAACACCATAAGTAATTTTAATTAAATGAACAGAACACTAAAATCCTATTTAAGTTTATACATGGCAGAAATCAGCAGTTATACAAGTTGGTCAATAATCAGTAATGTTTGAAAATAGTAACTAATAGATTGACATTTATGGGGTAAGTTGAAAACCATCAACACAACCACTACCACTGAAGTTAATGCATATAATACACGTTGAGAAACTATCTACCAGTGTTGAAGTCATCATCTATAATACATGCTGCGACCCTTACCACCACCACCACCACCAGCGGTGATGGTAAAATCAGTGTTTATAATACATGTTAAGAACATCGCTACGTTATCGTCTAGTAGTAGTAGGCATCCGTCAATCCCGTGGGGTTATGGAGTTGTGCCCTGGGTGTCTAGTTGTTGTAGTGTAGTTGGATGCAGCGCCTGCTGTCCCTGTGAAGGCCAACCCGAGAATGACAGTCCCGACTGCAGCGAGCATAGATAAACGCCGAAGCGGGTGCGTCTGACAGTGGTCTCCTCTGAAGTCTATTATCCTCCGCCTGCCTCTTCAGTTCATCCTCGAATTGCTGGAGTCCCTTCTGTACTTTGCATCTCCAGGCAGATCTGTCCGCAGCCGCTGCCTCCCAAGTGTTGATGGCGATGTTCATCTGCTTGAGGTCGCGTTTGCAGGCATCTCTGAAACGCAGCTGAGGTCTTCTGGTGGGTCTCCTTCCTGATGCCAGTTCTCCATACAAGAGGTCCTTTGATATGCGTCCATCGCCCATGCGTGTTATATGTCCCAGCCATCGCATGTGTCTCTGCTTCAGGAGAGTGAACATTGATGGGACTCCTGTTCTCTCGAGTACTGTGTTGTTGGTGACGTGGCCTTTCCACGTGATATCAAGGATGTGTTTCAGGTTCCGCATGTGAAAGGTATTGAGCCGTCTCTCCTGGCGAGAGCGCAGGGTCCAGGATTCCGCGCCGTAGAGAAGTGTACTCACCACACATGCCATGTAGACTTGTGCCTTGGTGTGCACTGTCAGTTTGGCATTTTCCCAAATGCGCTCTGTGAGCCTGACCAGTGTTGTTGCGGCCTTCCCGATACGTCTGTTGAGCTCAGTGTCCAGGGAAAGGGTGTCTGAGATTGTGGAGCCTAGGTACACAAACTCGTGAACTGTCTCCAGCACTTAGTCCACTATGTTTATACAGGGTAGCTCATTGACATCTTGTCCCATCACCTGTGTCTTCTTCAGGCTGATTGTCAGGCCGAATGCGGAACAGGCTGCGGTAAAGCGGTTGAGTAGCTGCTGCAGCCCTTCTGCTCTGTGTGTGGTGATCGCTGCGTCGTCGGCGAATAGGAACTCTCTGAGGATTCGCATCTGTACTTTTGTCTTTGCTTGGAATCTAGATAGATTATAGAGCTTTCCATCAGATCTTGTACGGAGATAGATGCCTTCTGTGGTTGTTCCAAAGGCATGCTTGACGAGGATCGCGAAGAAGATGCCGAACAGGGTTAGAGCAAGAACACACCCCTGTTTAACACCACTGTTGATGTTGAATGGTTCAGAAGTTTTCATTGTCAGGACATGACAATGTCACATAGGACATTGTCATGTCCTTCAAGGACATGAAGGGGACGACTGTCCCCTTCATGTCCTTGTGGAACGATTGTATCAAGCTGAGTAGGGTGGGTGAGCAGCCAATTTTGGCCAAGATCGTGAAGAGTCCGTCCCTGCTCATGAGGTCGAAGGCCTTTCTAAGGTCAATGAAGGCGACGTACAAGGCTTTTCTCTGCTTCCTGCACTTTTCTTGAAGCTGTCTCAGGGAGAACACCATGTCAGAGGTCAACCTCTCTGCTCGGAAACCACACTGTGACTCAGGGTACACTCTTTCGGCAAGAATTTGAAGCCTGACAAAGACGACCCTAGCAAAGAGTTTGCCGACGACGCTGAGGAGGGAGATGCCGCGATAGTTGTTGACATCGCTTCTGTCACCTTTATTTTTGCAGAAAGTGATGATGTTTGCATCTCTCATGTCTTGTGGCACCGAGCCCTCCCTCCAGTACTGGCACAGAAGTTCATGAAGCTCAGTTTTAAGTGTTCCACGAGCGCACTTGAGAACTTCAGGCGGAATCCCGTCGTCTCCTGGGGCCTTCCCTGATGAAAGTGAATCCACTGCTTTCTCAACTTCTTCCATAGTTGGTTCAAGATCAAGTTCTTCCATGATGGGCAGGCATTCAATTGCATCCAAATCCTCTACGCTGACCAAATTCTCTCTGGAGTAGAGTTTGGAGTAATGTTCCACCCAGCGATTCATCTGTTGATCACGGTCTTTAATGATCTTTCCAGTGGCTGACTTCAGAGGAGCCGTCCTGTTTTGTGTAGGACTTGTTGCCTGTTTGATCCCTTCGTACATGCGTCTTATGTTGCCGACAGTGGCCGCAGTCTGGATGCTGGAATACAGTCGAAGCCAGTAATCGTTAGCACAGCACCACGCAGTTTGTTGAACTTTATTGCGGGCAATACGGAGGGCCTGTAGGATCCTTTCTGAAGGTAGGTTCTTGTAGGATGAGAGAGCTCGTCTCTTTTCCTCTACGAGGGATAACAGTTTCTCTGCACTGGCCTCGAACCAATCTGCTGACTTGTTCTGCCTCTTACCGAAGGTGGACATGGCAGTGTTGAAAATAGTGCCCCTGAGATGTGACCACCTCTCACTTGCGCTATCGCAGGGTGGTACAGGAAGGGCATTTACCAGCACCGCAGTGAATTCCTACACCTTGTGAAGGTCACGAATCTTGTTTACGTTAATGCGTGGTCTTCCCTCCTTCTTTGCTCTGTGGATTTTCTGGGGCTGGAACTTTACTCTGCAAACGACGAGAGAGTGATCGGTGTCCCAATCTGCGCTCTGGAAGCTGTGGGTCAATTTGACGTTTCTCAGATTGCTACGCACTTTAAGCACCAGGTCGAGTTGGTGCCAATGCTTAGACCTGGGGTGTCTCCAGGAAACCTTATACAGGGGCTTGGTGTCGAAGAAGGAATTGGTGATGCAGAGATCATGACGATAGCAGAACTCCAGTAAGTGCTGTCCACTCTCATTCATTTTCCCAAATCCAAACTGGCCCAGGCAGGAAGACCAAGAGCTGTGATCAGAACCAACTCTTACATTAAAATCTCCCAGGAGTAAGACTGGCTCTTGTTGAGGTATGTCTCTGAGAGCTAGGCCGAGGTCATCATAGAACTTGTCCTTCGCTTCGGTAGAGGAGGATAGTATTGGTGCATAGGCATTGATGAGGCTGACCAATCCTGCTGCTGTATGTAGCTGAAGTTTGATGATCCTTGCAGACCCCTCCGTGGGCGGTTCTATGGACCCTAATAACCTGTTCCTGATGGCAAAGCCAACGCCATGCTCCCTTACCTCTTCTGGTGGTTTGTCCTGCCAGAAGAAGGTAAAGTTATTCTCCTGTATGCTGCCGGTCGCGGGCAGACGTGTCTTTTGCAATCAGGGCGACTATGTCCATCTTGAGCCTGCGTAGTTCATTGTTGGTCACAGCTGTCTTGCGGGCGTCGTTCACTTCCAGTAGATCTTCTGAGAGACCCACTGTCATGGTCCTTACATTCCATGTGCCCAGTTTGAGAGCTGGGTCTCTGTTGGTTTTCTTTTGCCTGGTGCTTGGTTGATGATCCGCTTATTGGATTGTGGCCTAAACCCCACACATCCAGTGGAGCAGGCGGACCGTGACGGGACAACACCTTATTGGCTGGGGGCTGCCCAGCTTGAGGCGGGCACCGACGGAAGCAACCCCTGGCGCCTCGCTCTACGCCAATTGAGTGGTAGGCTTATCACAGGTAACTGTCGCTTCCCGTGGTGAGCCTGCTGGAGTGTCCTCTCCAGGGCACAGGCCTGGGCAGTAATTATGGAGGACCAGCTGTTGCCCATGCAGCAGAGACAACCTTCTACACGCCACCGATGTGATCCAAGGGAAGGGCAGGCGCCGATACGCTTGGCACCAGTGTCGTCGCAGGAGTTGCCAGAATGTAGCTGTAAACAGCTGCAAATTGCCTTAGGGATTCCGGCTCCGGATTTTTCCTCAGGGTTGACTTCCGAAGTCTTTCCCAGGTGTGGGTTTAGCCGCAAGACAGCAGAGGTTTGAATTCGGGGTTTTCCTTTCCCTAAATGAACTACCTTTTCAGGCTAACGAGTCCCATCTGCCCGGAATCTATAATCATCACCATCGTCTATAATACAATTTAATAACACTCACCACCAACATCAACTTTGCCTTCAGCATCACACTTTGAGAACACTCACCGCCTCCACCAGCATTAACATCAGCACCATTCTCAATGAGGAGTTTCACGATGTCTAGATGTCCACGGTCTGCCGCTATTGTTAGTGCCAAGTCTGATAATGGAAAAATAAAAATGCTGTTATTGTCATTTTAATTTATAGCAATTATACATTTATTATTATTATTATTATTATTATATATAATATATATATATATATTTTTTTTTAAAGTTTGTGAGGGTACCACCTCTGGTGCCAATGTGGGGACCCATAGCCTCGGAGAAGAAAATAAAAAGTATTCAGAGGAGACCTTGTGGTTTCTCACTGAACACTAATATTATCTTCTCCTACCACCCCCATTCTTTTGTATGTACACATATATATTTACTTTATTTGAACTTTGTTACAAAAAAAGGAGTTACATATAGGTTACAAAGATGGTTATCATAGGTTGTCGAGTTCCTCCAGCTCCTCAGATGGCGAGCAGGAACCCTGGATGCAGTGCGCATTTCCCCTCTGTATCGCCACACTGAGGCGCTGGAAAAGAAAGCTTGCAGCTCTTGGGTCTCTTGTTGTTTCAATGAGCCTAGAACCCAATTCCTTCAAAAAACTGGTAGCACTTTTACCCCAGGCGCCGAGTGTCTCAGAAGCAATGGGGACAAAATTGTAGTGGTGATCCAGTTCACTATACTTACGGGATTTGGCTGCTTCCCTGTGGGTGGCAGCGCCACCTGGTTGTGCAACACTGAGGTTAATGTAGGTGTTAGCCACGGTTGATATGCACGTGTAGTCCCATACCAACTGCTTGCCATTCTTCCAGGGGTTCACTGTGATACCATCCGGGCGATCAATAAGAGCATCAGAGTTACGGGGCGTTAGGTAACGGGGCTCTCTTTCAGCTGGGCATCCAGCTGTGGTGAGGCTCCTCTTGATGATGTCGTTAACTTCATTGTGCCTCGAGTGCCATCCCCCTGTGCTTTGGCAGAGTAGGCCATGGTGGCCGTACCTGTCAGCCACCACCTCGCCGCAAATACACCTATATCTGGTGTGGATTGGGGCAGCAAGGCGGAGGGCCACAGCAATTCGGAGGGCGTGTGGTGTGAGACGCGTGCCAGTTGCCGACATTGGGGTTGCTAACAAGAAATCCCCTGCATGTGGTGCTGCTACTGCTGTGAGGCAAGCAATGTCGTGTTGTGTTGTTGCAGCACCCAGGCACTCTGCAGCAACTTGGTCTACAATGGGGCCATCCCAGCTGGATTGCTTGTGGGCTTTTGGGGATGGTGGTTGAGGTGATTGGCCTGCACGAGAGGCCCACTCTGTGGCACAGCGTGTAAAATTGGGATCATGTGCACCTGCCAGCTGATGTAAGTGGGCAGGTAGAATTTCCTTCACAAGGTCGTCGGATGCTGATAAGGAGGACAGGAAGGCTGGAACAGCGATTTGCGTTGCTGTTCGAACTCCGAGGCCCCCAAGTCTTACGGGAAGATATATATATATATATATATATATATATATATATATATATATATATATATATATATATATGTGTGTGTGTGTGTGTGTGTGTGTGTGTGTGTGTGTGTGTGTGTGTGTGTGTGTGTGTGTGTGTGTGTGTGTGTGTGTGTGTGTGTACTCACCTAGTTGTACTCACCTAGTTGTGTTTGCGGGGGTTGAGCTCTGGCTCTTTGGTCCCGCCTCTCAACCGTCAATCAACAGGTGTACAGATTCCTGAGCCTATCGGGCTCTGTCATATCTACATTTGAAACTGTGTATGGAGTCAGCCTCCACATCACTTCCTAATGCATTCCATTTGTCAACCACTCTGACACTAAAAAAGTTCTTTCTAATATCTCTGTGGCTCATTTGGGCACTCAGTTTCCACCTGTGTCCCCTTGTGCGTGTTCCCCTTGTGTTAAATAGACTGTCTTTATCTACCCTATCAATTCCCTTCAGAATCTTGAATGTGGTGATCATGTCCCCCCTAACTCTTCTGTCTTCCAGCGAAGTGAGGTTTAATTCCCGTAGTCTCTCCTCGTAGCTCATACCTCTCAGCTCGGGTACTAGTCTGGTGGCAAACCTTTGAACCTTTTCCAGTTTAGTCTTATCCTTGACTAGATATGAACTCCATGCTGGGGTTGCATACTCCAGGATTGGCCTGACATATGTGGTATACAAAGTTCTGAATGATTCTTTACACAAGTTTCTAAATGCCGTTCGTATGTTGGCCAGCCTGGCATATGCCGCTGATGTTATCCGCTTGATATGTGCTGCAGGAGACAGGTCTGGCGTGATATCAACCCCCAAGTCTTTTTCCTTCTCTGACTCCTGAAGAATTTCCTCTCCCAGATGATACCTTGTATCTGGCCTTCTGCTCCCTACACCTATCTTCATTACATTACATTTGGTTGGGTTAAACTCTAACAACCATTTGCTCGACCATTCCTTCAGCTTGTCTAGGTCTTCTTGAAGCCTCAAACAGTCCTCTTCTGTTTTAATCCTTCTCATAATTTTAGCATCGTCCGCAAACATTGAGAGAAATGAATCGATACCCTCCGGGAGATCATTTACATATATCAGAAACAAGATAGGACCGAGTACAGAGCCCTGTGGGACTCCACTGGTGACTTCACGCCAATCGGAGGTCTCACCCCTCACCGTAACTCTCTGCTTCCTATTGCTTAGATACTCCCTTATCCACTGGAGCACCTTACCAGCTACACCTGCCTGTCTCTCCAGCTTATGTACTAGCCTCTTATGCGGTACTGTGTCAAAGGCTTTCCGACAATCCAAGAAAATGCAGTCCGCCCAGCCCTCTCTTTCTTGCTTAATCTTTGTCACCTGATCGTAGAATTCTATCAAGCCTGTAAGGCAAGATTTACCCTCCCTGAACCCATGTTGGCGATTTGTCACGAAGTCCCTTCTCTCCAGATGTGTTACCAGGTTTTTTCTCACGATCTTCTCCATCACCTTGCATGGTATACAAGTCAAGGACACTGGCCTGTAGTTCAGTGCCTCCTGTCTGTCGCCCTTTTTGTATATTGGGACCACATTCGCCGTCTTCCATATTTCTGGTAGGTCTCCTGTCTCCAGTGACTTACTATACACTATGGAGAGTGGCAAGCAAAGTGCCTCTGCACACTCTTTCAGTACCCATGGTGAGATCCCATCTGGACCCACAGCCTTTCTAACATCCAGATCCAGCAGGTGTCTCTTGACCTCCTCTCTCGTAATTTCGAACTCTTCCAAGGCCGCCTGGTTTACCTCCCTTTCTCCTAGCACAGTGACCTCACCTTATTCTATTGTGAAGACCTCCTGGAACCTCTTGTTGAGTTCCTCACACACCTCTCTGTCATTCTCTGTATACCTGTCCTCGCCTGTTCGAAGTTTCAATACCTGTTCTTTCACTGTTGTTTTCCTTCTGATGTGACTGTGGAGTAGCTTTGGTTCGGTCTTGGCTTTGTTTGCTATATCATTTTCAAAATTTTTCTCTGCTTCTCTTCTCACCCTTACGTACTCATTCCTGGTTCTCTGGTATCTCTCTCTGCTTTCTGGTGTTCTGTTATTCCGGAAGTTCCTCCACGCCTTTTTGTTCAGTTTCTTTGCTTCCATACATGCCCTATTATACCATGGATTCTTCTGTTGCTTCTCGGATTTTTCCCTTTGGGCCGGGATGAACCTGTTTACTGCCTCCTGACACTTTTGGGTAACATAGTCCATCATATCCTGTACAGACTTGTCTCTGAGGTCTGTGTCCCAAGGTATTTCACTTAGGAAACTTCTCATCTGTTCATAATTCCCCTTTCGGTATGTGTGTGTGTGTGTGTGTGTGTGTGTGTGTGTGTGTGTGTGTGTGTGTGTGTGTGTGTGTGTGTGTGTGTGTGTGTGTGTGTGTGTGTGTGTGTGTGTGTGTGTGTGTATGTGTGTGTCGTACCTATTAGCCAGAACGCACTTCTCGGCCTACTAAGTAAGGCCCGATTTGCCTAATAGGCCGAGTGATTTTCTTTATTTTCAATATTTTTTTCCAAATAGTTTATTTGAATTATTATTATTATTTTATATTATGACCATAATTTATTGACTTAGTTGTGTTAGTTTAGGTTAGGTTAAGATAGGTTAGGTTAGGTTAGGTAGGGTTGGTTAGGTTCGGTCATATGTCTACGTTACTTTTAACTCAAATAAAAACAAATTAACTCATACATAATGAAATGGATAGTTTTATCATTTCATAAGAAAAAAAATTGAAAATATATAAATTCAGGAAAACTTGGCTTATTAGGCCAATCGGGCCTTGCATAATTGGCCGAGTACTGCTTTCTTGCTACTAGGTACAACAAATATATATATATATATATATTAGTATATTTTGGTAGCAGTCTTTCCTGTAGACATATATTATTAAATATGACCGAAAAAGTAAGATTAATAATTCTAACACGAATTTTCTCAATCTTTCGTACATTTCTTTTCACTGTTGGAGGTAAATCAAAAATCAATTCTCCAAAATTCATTTTTATTTCTAGTCTGACGCGACACGAGCGCGTTTCGTAAAACTTATTACATTTTCAAAGACTTTAGTTTACAAATACACAACTGAATATATATTTCATATATATATTCATATATATATATATATACATATATATATATATATATATATATATATATATATATATATATATATATATATATATATATATATATATATATATATATATATATATATATATATATATATATATATATATATATATATATATATATATATATATATATATATATATATATATATATATATATATATATATATATATATATATATATTTTAAAGGGAAGGGAGTACCACCTCTGGCTGGAAGAAGGGGACCCATAGCCTCGGAGGAAACCACACATAACGCATTGGAGAGAATGTAGGTCCCCTCCAATACAGTTTCTGTGTGTGTTTTCTCCTACCACCCCCTTCCTTTTTTTTTTTTTTTTTTTGCTTTATTGTGTATTTAAAGGTTACAAAACGTACAAGACAAATGCCTAAAGGTTATGGATCTCTTGAAGCTCCTCCGCTTCTGGACAGGAACCGAGGATGCAGCAAGCATTTCCCTTCTGGATCGCCACACTGAGGCGCTGAAACAAAAAACTGGAAGCCCTTGGGTCTCTGGTGACGTCAATGAGCTTGGAACCCAATTCCTTGAGAAATCCCAAGGCACTCTTGCCCCAGGGGCCATGCGTCTCAGACGCTATGGGAACAAAGAGGTATTGACCTTCCAGTCGCCTGTACTTGAGTGATTTTGCTGTTTCCCTGTGGTTGGCCGCCCCACCTGCTTGATCAGCTCCGAAGTGTACATAGGTGTCAGCCAGGGTGGATACACATGTGTAGTCCCACACCAACTGTCTACCCTCCTTCCATGAGTATATGGTGATGCCATCAGGGCGAAGTGCTGGGAAATCCGGGTTTTGAACCCCTAGGATGCGAGGTTCTCTCTCCGCTGGGCACCTAGCTGAGACGAGGCTTCTCTTGATGATGTCATTGACCTCGTTGTGTCTTGCATGCCAGCCCTTTGTGCTTCCGCAATGCAACCCATGCAGTCCGTATTGGTCTGCTTCCACCCTGTTGCAAATACACTTGTATTCAGTGTGAATTGGGGCACCAAGGCGGAGGGCCACTGCTACACGAAGGTATTCTGGATCTAGGCGCGTGCCCATTACTGACATGGGTACTGCCAGGAGGAAGTCTCCTGCATGGGGGGCATGCACTGCTCTGAGGCGGGCTTTCTCCTTGTCTGATGTTGCGGCGCTGAGCATGGCATCAGCTACTTTTTCCACTAGAGAGTGGTCCCAGCCGGACTGTTTGTGTTGTTTTGTTGGCTCTATAATGGTGGCTGGGGCTGCAAGAACATCCCACTGATTTGAACATTCAGTGAAAGCAGGATCGTGTATTCCTGCTGAATCTCTCAGGGTTGCAGGTAAGATATATATATATGTATATATAAATATATATATATATATATATATATATATATATATATATATATATATATATATATATATATATATATATATATATATATATATATATATATATATATATATATATATATATATATATATATATATGACACTGACACTGTCATATTTATATATATATGACAGTGTCAGACCACGCAGGAAGAATTTAAACATGAATTTCTCTCCATTATCAGCACTAAAATCCGCACCATAGTCAAGAAAACTCACTATCATCAGCACCTTTGTCAAGAGCACTCACCATCAACAGCCCCATTTGCACTATTACAAACCCATTAAGATTTCATCTTATATACAACAGAGCAGAAGTTGTTAAACACATGGGGAATAATCTTACTGAAGCGACCATACGAGTCATAAATACTCATACTCCGCCCAAGTAAAACAGAAACAAGCAACACTTAGTGGGCCAGCCAGAGGCTTAGGGCCCGCCCAGTGGGCCAGCCAGAGGCTTAGGGCCCGCGCAGGAATATCCCTGCAAACAAAAAACATCAGCACTATGGTCACGAATACTCACAATCATCAGCACTATTGTCACGAACACTCACTATCATCAGCACTATTGTCACGAACACTCACTATCATCACCACTAACATCAGCACTATTGTCACGAACACTCACTATCATCAGCACTATTGTCACGAACACTCACTATCATCAGCACTAACATTAGCACCAAGGTCACGAACATTCACAATCATCAGCACCAATGTCACGAACACTCACTATCATCACCACTAACATCAGCACTATGGTCACGAACACTGACAATCATCAGCACTATTGTCACGAACACTCACTATCATCAGCACTAACATCAGCACTATGGTCACGAACACTCACAATCATCAGCACTATTGTCACGAACACTCACTATCATCAGCACTAACATCAGCACCAAGGTCACGAACACTCACTATCATCACCACTAACATCAGCACTATTGTCACGAACACTCACAATCATCAGCACTATTGTCACGAACACTCACTATCATCAGCACTATTGTCACGAACACTCACTATCATCAGCACTATTGTCACGAACACTCACTATCATCAGCACTATTGTCACGAACACTCACTATCATCAGCACTATTGTCACGAACACTCACTATCATCAGCACTATTGTCACGAACACTCACTATCATCAGCACTATTGTCACGAACACTCACTATCATCAGCACCAATGTCACGAACATTCACAATCATCAGCACTATTGTCACGAACACTCACTATCATCAGCACTAACATCAGCACCAAGGTCAAGAACATACACCATCATCAGCTCCATGGTGAAGAACACTACAATCATCAGCACGAACATCAGCTCTACAAACACTCACTTTCAACACCATTAACATCAGCACAATGGTAAAAAATAGTCTCAGTCCTCAGCACCACAAACACTCACCAACATTAGCACTAACATCAGGAACTGGTCGAGAACATTCATCATTATCTCAGCCGACCGGGAGCCGGTCGGCCGAGCGGACAGCACACTGGACTTGCGATCCTGTTGTCCGGGTTCGATCCCGGGCGCCGGCGAGAAACAATGGGCAGAGTTTCTTTCACCCTATGCCCCTGTTACCTAGCAGTAAAATAGGTACCTGGGTGTTAGTCAGCTGTCACGGCTGCTTCCTAGGGGTGGAGGTCTGGTCAAGGACCGGGCCGCGGGGACACTAAAAGCCCCGAAATCATCTCAAGATAACCTTATAAGCACCATAGTTAAGAATACTCACAGTCCTTGACACTAACGTTAGCATCATCGTCCTAAACACTCAACATCAACTGCACTAACATCACCACAATGGTCAAAAACACTCTCCATTTGCAGCATTAACATTAGCATCATATTCAAGAACATTCACCATCATCCGCACTAAAATCAGCACCATGGACAAGTACACTCACCATCATCCATACCATTGTCATGAACACTCACTATCATTAGAACCATTTTCATGAACACTCACTATCATTAGCACCATAGTTATGAACACTCACTATCATTAGCACAATTTTCATGAACACTCACTATCATTAGCACCATAGTCATGAACACTCACTATCATTAGCACCATAGTCATGAACACTCACTATCATTAGCACCATAGTTATGAACACTCACTATCATTAGCACCATAGTTATGAACACTCACTATCATTAGCACAATTTTCATGCACACTCACTATCATTAGCACCATAGTCATGAACACTCACTATCATTAGCACCACTGCCATGAACACTCACTATCATTAGCACCATTGTCATGAACACACACTATCATTAGCACCATTGCCATGAACACTCACTATCATTAGCACCATTGCCATGAACACACACTATCATTAGCACCATTGCCATGAACACTCACTATCATTAGCACCATAGTTATGAACACTCACTATCATTAGCACAATTTTCATGAACACTCGCTATCATTAGCACAATTTTTATGAACACTCACTATCATTAGCACCATAGTCATGAACACTCACTATCATTAGCACCACTGCCATGAACACACACTATCATTAGCACCATTGCCATGAACACTCACTATCATTAGCACCATGGTCATGTACACTGACCATCATCAGCACCATGGCCACGAGCACTCACTATCATCACCATCATGGTCATGGTCACTCACCATCATCAGCACCATGGTCAAGAACACTCACCATCATCAGCACCATGGTCAAGAACACTCACCATCATCAGCACCATGGTCAAGAACACTCACCAACATCAGCACTAACATCAGCACCATGGAGTATGAGGGTCTTGACAATGTCCAGGTTACCAGCGTCGGCTGCTACCTGTAGTGACACCCCTGTAAATGATAAATAAACACTAGTATATGCTATAAGCAACACCTCACAACATATGCCAATTGTTCATATATGTATACAGTGTTGAATATTGTTGAACATATCCTTGGAGTTCTCTGGGATGTTCTTGTTGGCCGACCTCGAACTCAGCAGAGTTCTGGGTTGGTTATCTTTAGTAACTTAGTTATCTTTAGTTGGTTATCTTTAGTATCTTTAGCCGGAACAACCGTGGCCAAGTCAGTTAAGGCAGGCGTTTGGTAATGAACAGGGCGCGATTTAAAGTCACTCCATTGCCTCAAATATATACATATATGTTGTACCTAGTAGCCAGAATGCAGTACTCAGCCTACTATGCAAGGCGCGATTTGCCTAATAAGCCAAGTTTTCTTCAATTAATGTATTTTTCATTTTTTTTTCTTATGGACTAATAAAGCTATTCATTCCATTATGAATGAGTAAATTGTTTTTTATTTGAGTTAAAATTAACGAAGATATATGACCAAACCTAACCAACCCTACCTAACCTAACCTAACCTATCTTAACCATACCTAAAGTAACATAACTAAGTCAATAATTTATGTTCTTAATATAATATAATATTAATGATTCAAATAAACTAATTGGGAATTTACTGAAAAAAATCACTCGGCTTATTAGGCAAATCGGACCTTGCATAGTAGGCCGAGTACTGCTTTTTGGCTACTAGGTACAACATATATATATATATATATATATATATATATATATATATATATATATATATATATATATATATATATATATATATATATATATATATATATATATATATACATATATATATATATATGTCGTACCTAGTAGCCAGAACGCACTTCTCAGCCTACTATGCACGGCCCGATTTGCCTAATTAGCCAAGTTTTCCTGAATTAATATTTTTTCTCTATTTTTTTTCTTATGAAATGATAAAGCTACCCATTTCATTATGTATGAGGTCAATTTTTTTTTATTGGAGTTAAAATTAACGTAGATATATGACCGAACCTAACCAACCCTACCTAACCTAACCTAACCTATCTTTATAGGTTAGGTTAGGTTAGGTAACCGACAAAGTTAGGTTAGGTTAGGTTAGGTAGGTTAGGTAGTCGAAAAAACATTATTTCATGAAAACTTGGCTTATTAGGCAAATCGGGCCTTGCATAGTAGGCTGAGAAGTGCGTTCTGGCTACTAGGTACGACATATATATATATATATATATATATATATATATATATATATATATATATATATATATATATATATATATAAATATATATATATATATATATATATATATATATATATATATATAGTGTAGTGGATACAGCATGCAACTGCCACCTTGTTGGCCAGTGTTCGAGTCTCCTGGTGGGTTGAGTGTCTAAAAAGTTATACACTTCAGCTACTGGAATAGGGTAGTCTGTGCATTAAGCATTTGGCACTGAGTTTTCCCATATAACAGGAACCGATGAAAGAGCATCCGAGGTCCCACACTATCTCATTGCCTGGGAGAGGATTGGGGTTCTGGTTGGTTAAATACCCCAGAATTCCTACCTCTCTTATTATGGCTTTGAAGTATAGTGTAGTGGATACAGCATGCAACTGCCACCTTGTTGGCCAGTGTTCGAGTCTCCTGGTGGGTTGAGTGTCTAAAAAGTTATACACTTCAGCTACTGGAATAGGGTAGTCTGTGCATATATATATATATATATATATATATATATATATATATATATATATATATATATATATATATATATATATATATATATATATATATATATATATATACATATATATATATATGTCGTACCTAGTAGCCAGAACTCACTTTTTGGCCTACTATTCAAGGCCCGATTTGCCTAATAAGCCAAGTTTTCCTGAATTATTATATTTTTTCTAATTTTTTTCTTATGAAATGATAAAGCTACCCATTTCATTATGTATGAGGTGAATTTTTTTTATTGGAGTTAAAATTAACATAGATATATGACCGAACCTAACCAACCCAACCTAACCTAACCTAACCTATCTTTATAGGTTAGGTTCGGTTAGGTAGCCGAAAAAGTTAGGTTAGGTTAGGTTAGGTAGGTTAGGTAGTCGAAAAAACATTAATTCATGAAAACTTGGCTTATTAGGCAAATTGGGCCTTGCATAGTAAGCTGAGAAGTGCGTTCTGGCTACTAGGTACGACATATATATATATATATATATATATATATATATATATATATATATATATATGTCGTACCTAGTAGCCAGAATGCACTTCTCGGCCTACTATGCAAGGCCCGATTTGCCTAATAAGCCAAGTTTTCCTGAAATAATATATTTTCTCTAATTTTTTTCTTATGAAATGATAAAGCTACCTATTTCATTATGTATGAGGTCAATTTTTTTTATTGGAGTTAAAATTAACATAGATATATGTCCGAACCTAACCAACCCTACTTAACCTAACCTAACCTATCTTTATAGGTTAGGTTAGGTAGCCGAAAAAGTTGAGTTAGGTTAGGTTAGGTAGGTTAGGTAGTGGAAAAACATTTAATTCATAAAAACTTGGCTTATTAGGCAAATCAGGCCTTGCATAGTAGGCTGAGAAGTGCATTCTGGCTACTAGGTACGACATATATATATATATATATATATATATATATATATATATATATATATATATATATATATATATATTTATATATATATATATATATATATATATATATATATATATATATATATATATATATATATATGTCGTACCTAATAGCCAGAACGCACTTCTCAGCCTACTATGCAAGGCCTGATTTGCCTAATAAGCCAAGTTTTCATGAATTATTGTTGTTTCGGCTACCTAACCTACCTAACCTAACCTAACCTAACTTTTTCTGCTACCTAACCGAACCTAACCTATAAAGATAGGTTTGGTTAGGTTAGGTAGGGTTGGTTAGGTTTGGTCATATATCTACGTTAATTTTAACTAAAATAAATAAAAATTGACCTCATACATAATGAAATGGGTAGCTTTATCATTTCATAAGAAAAAAATTAGAGAAAATATAATAATTGAGGAAAACTTGGCTTATTAGGCAAATTTGGTCTTGCATATTAGGCTGAGAAGTGCGTTCTGGCTACTAGGTACGACATATATATATATATATATATATATATATATATATATATATATATATATATATATATATATATATATATATATATATATATATATATATATATATATATATATATGTCGTACCTAATAGCCAGAACGCACTTCTGAGCCTACTATGCAAGGCCCGATTTGCCTAATAAGCCAAGTTTTCATGAATTAATTGTTTTTCGACTACCTAACCTACCTAACCTAACCTAACCTAACTTTTTCTGCTACCTAACCTAACCTAACCTATAAAGATAGGTTAGGTTAGGTTAGGTAGGGTTGGTTAGGTTCGGTCATATATCTACGTTAATTTTAACTCCAATAAAAAAAAATTGACCTCATACATAATGAAATGGGTAGCTTTATCATTTCATAAGAAAAAAATTAGAGAAAAAATATTAATTCAGGAAAACTTGGCTTATTAGGCAAATCGGGCCTTGCATAGTAGGCTCAGAAGTGCGCTCTGGCTATTAGGTACGACATATATATATATATATATATATATATATATATATATATATATATATATATATATATATATATATATGTCGTACCTAGTAGCCAGAACTCACTTCTCAGCCTACTATTCAAGGCCCGATTTGCCTAATAAGCCAAGTTTTCCTGAATTATTATATTTACTATAATTTTTTTCTTATGAAATGATAAAGCTACCCATTTCACTATGTATGAGGTCAATTTGTTTTATATGAGTTAAAATTAACGTAGATATATGACCGAACCTAACCAACCCTACCTAACCTAACCTAACCTATATTTATAGGTAAGGTTAGGTTAGGTAGCCAAAAAAAGCTAGGTTAGGTTAGGTTAGGTAGGTTAGGTAGACGAAAAAACATTAATTCATGAAAACTTGGCTTATTAGGCAAATCGGGCCTTGAATAGTAGGCTGAGAAGTGCGTTCTGGCTATTAGGTACGACATATATATATATATATATATATATATATATGTTGTACCTAATAGCCAGAACGTCGTACTCGGCCTACTATGCAAGACCCGATTTGCCTAATAAGCCAAGTTTTCCTGATTTTAAATATTTTCTCAATTTTTTTTCTTATGAAATGATAAAGCTACCCATTTCATTATGTATGAGTTAAAAAAATTATTGGAGTTAAAATTAACGTAGATATATGACCGAACCTAACCAACACTACCTAACCTAACCTAACCTATCTTAACCTAACCTAAACTAACATAACTGAGTCAATACTTTATGTTTCTAATCTAATATAATAATAATAATTCAAATAATCCATTTGGAAACAATTTATTGAAAATAACGAAAATTACTCGGCCTAATTTTCAAATCGGGCCTTGCACAGTAGGCCGAGAAGTGCTTTCTGGCTACTAGGTACGACATATATATATATATATATATATATATATATATATATATATATATATATATATATATATATATATATATATATATATATATATATATATATATATATATATATATATATATATATATATATATATATGAGAAGTTTGGCTACAGCTGGGTGCCCAGCACAAAGGGAACCTCAGTTGTGCAGACCTGACAACAGCCAAAACCGCCCAGATGGAGTCACCCTGCAGCCGTGGAGGGAAGGTAAACAGGTCGTGTGGGACTACACGTGTGCATCTACATTGGCTGATACCTATCTACCTTACATCACAGCTGAGGGAGGCGGGACGGCCACCTTCAGGGAGACCCAGAAAACTAACAAGTACAGGGACCTAGAACGTTGTTACAGGTTCGTGCCAATAGGCTCTGAGACTCTGGGCGCCTGGGGTAAATGTGCACTTAAGTTCCTGAAGGAGCTGGG